TACATACATTCCCGCAGTGTCAATTGACATCATGGTGCATCGAATTCACCTCTTCCTTTGCCACGTGAGCCAATGGATCGGACAAAGTTCAAGTCGAGGTCAAACACCTGAATGCGATGGTTATCACGATCACACACATACACTTGATTGTCATACAGTGTCACTCCACGTGGATCATCAAACTCCCCCTCCTTACTGCCCTCCCGACCAATACATTTGATCAGTTCACCACTGCTAGTGAACTTCTGCAGCTTGTGCTCACTGCTCACATAAATATTGTCAGTATCATCAGTTGCTATGCCTGCAGGGTATTTCATCTGATCTGGACTGTCACCACATGATCCAAATGTTCGGATTTTCTGTCCTCTGATGTCAAAGATAGACAATCTATACCACCACTTCACTGACAATCATCTCCTGATGACTGTTGAAGGCAATGCCATATGGAGTTTACCAATCCAGTCACAGTCCTCACTGGGTGGCCTAGTTGTCTGGGGTCAGGGTACACGGTCACAGTGAAGGGGCTGCCATTGATTTCTCTGTCGTTGACTTGAACATGGAGTTTGTGTTGGCCTCGACTGACTGGTGTGTACGACACCTCGTATTGGGAGGGAGACGTCATGGCAACCAATACCTGTTTCTCTGGCTGTTTCTTCGACCAAGGCCACCTTGATCTAGTGGGTGTGGCTTCGGATGTATTTGTGGGTGTGGCTTTTGAAACGAGCTCAAGTTGTGCGGTGACATTCAGTGGAAGTGAGTATGGTCTACCACTAGAGTCAGTTAGTTGGACTAGGACGTGTGTTGGTTGGTTGACTGTGGCTGATGTTAGACCAGGTCCACTGACCTGACATGTGTAAGAGTGCTGGGACAGACAGAGAGCGAAGAGTGAATAACAAGTGAAAACCTTGTGTTTGGCAAACTATAAGGCAATGTCTAACATGGCTATGTATAGTTATAGCAATAGAACTGCGAAAAGAAAACGTTACCTTATACTCTGATTTGAAGGAAAAAATCGAGTCCAGAATTGCCTAACACACACTATCTTTGAAGAATCTCCAATGGCGTTGTCACGTGCCCCAATGCCCCGATCGACCAACGTACAAGACTGCAAGTCAGAACGAATTCAGTGTTGATTTGAGTTCAAACCAAACTGGGTTGGATCCAAAGAGTTCGTACCAGTTCAGGTGCAGAGCAATAGTGTTTGAACACAAGGATTACCCCCAAGGTTTAGACATATGCAATGTCAACTACACCCAGGTCAGCTCTTTCTTCAAAAAAAGAAGAGCTGTGGGATTCGAACCCACGACACTCTGCACTCTACCAACTGAGCTACCCCCAAGTGGTCACGTGCCCCAATGCCACGATGGACACGTAAAGCGCAAGTCAAAATGCTGATTTGAGTCAAACCACTGGGCTGGATCCAAAGAGTTCGTACAAGTCCAGAAGTGTTTGAACACAAGGATTACCCCCAAGGCTCTTCCATGGACGAGGCCAACCTGTTTAGAGATATGCAATGTGTACACCGTTCAAATTCGGTGCAGCTTTAATAGCAAACGAGCGTTACTTTCTCTCTGGTAGGCCAAGTGAGAGTCCCAGGGAAGACGTTGACAGGGACAGTGGTAAAGGGACGGGAGGTGGTAAAGGGAGGAGGGAAGGGGCTGGAGGAGTGTGACAATGGGACTTACCTTGACCGGCACCTTCCCAAACCCCAGGGGAGTCTGTGCAACATACGTATGTCATTGCATGCAATTTAGAGACCAGAAACTTCTGATTTGTAGTCAAACTAGCCAATCACAATGCTGCTGCATTATGGTGTTGAGTAAGCTTAGGAAGCCAGACAATTTACACTATGCCCAGACAGGCATGTCAAAGCAGTGGGGTGATATCGCCACTAACGACAGGGGCTCGCAATCATACTCTCCCAAAGAAGCATGCCGTTGGGGGTGTCCTGAAATAGCTCCATATACCCGGCAATTAGCAGTTCGGGCACGTAAGGTCACATGGAGGACGCACGAAGGCCATGACTTAATGCATGACGTCATGTGACAGCATGTGCCAGGCCAAGGCCCCTTGCGGCGTTGCGAGCGGCCCGCCTCCCACAAATGTATGCTATTTTGGTTGCTTTTGAGTCCAGAAAGACTGTCGAGTCGATGACAAAGGAGGGCAATTTTGCGACAATTTTTACTCACATTCTTATAGTTACCACACATACTCTTACACATTCAGGTGTGTGAAATTAGAGCTATACTGATATTCATAGCCAGTGAATTGAGGGTATACCATTCATGACTGACCTTTCCCCCCAGTTGCTGCTGAAGCAGAGCTATCTCCCTGTCCTTGGCCTGCACTAACTCAGTCTCCTGCAGTCAGGAGGACCTCTAGTCACAACACACAACTCCACACACTAGACTAACTCTCTGTCTCATCTCCTGAATCTGCTGCTGCTCTCTCCTGATAGTCTCCTCTGCCCTCGTCACCTCTGCTTCCTTTCTCGTCAGTTCTGCTTTATTTCTAGTCAACTCTGCTTCTTTTCCTGTCAGCTCTGTCTCCTGCAGAAACATCAGAGAGTGGCAGTCATCCAAATCATGTCTGAATGCTCACTTTTCTTGTCAGCTCTTGTCTGAGTGCTTGCTTCTCCCTCTCACTTTCCTCATCCTACAACAGTCAACATAGTGAAATATATTCCCTAAGTCTGCTATACACTGTGCTCTATACCTTCCGAGCAATCTCCCTGTCCCTGTCTGTGAGCTCTTGTCGGAGTGTCTGCATCTCCCTCTCAGTTGCTTGCAAATGTTCTTCCTGCGATCACAAAACAACACAACACTTGACTGGGACACTTAAATCATCTTTAAGACTCACGTTACGTCTCACTTGCTGCTGTGCTGCAGCTAACTCCGTCTGCACACGGGACTGGAGATGAGCATTCTCTGTCACCAGGTCTCGGAGAACACACTCCAAATTCTGGTATAGAATCACAAGAGTTTTAGTCAACATTATCAACTCATACCTAATGAAAGGCACTGAAGTGCAAACCCTTGGCACAGTGGGTGGTACACGCACAATTATGTAAAGTAATGGGTGGGGCAATGGTATCACCAGGTCTGGTAGAATTGTTGTACTTACTGGTGCTGTATTTAGGTTCATAGATAAGATTATTCCTTTCTTATGTAAACCCGTTTTATACACACATGCGCGTTGTTAAAATGGCCGCCCTTGCCGTACCGTACGAACAGGAAAACGCTCTAGCTCTGCAAAGAAGCAGTTTCAGAGAAAATCCCACATATATTTTGACCTCCGTCGGCCGTTGGGTATGTAAACCCGTTTTGGACGCGATCTATGACTGGAGAAGTGAGTTCTCACTTAACGAATGAATGACACACACGACAACTACAGTAACCCTCGCTGTGCATGCGCGCTGAGGGTTATGAGTGTGTAACCAGGCAGACAACAGAAGCTACATGACTCTGACCCACTTCGTTTCATGCACCACTGAACATTCCTCACCTGCCCCTGATTTACATACCCACATGTCATCCTGTTCACCTGTATAACTCTGCCCCTTACACTAACACACTATAAAAGCACCTTGCTAAATTCATGTGTGTGCTCGGCCTGATATCGGTATTGCTATACCCTTAGGAAGCTGTTGAACGTGCAGCAGCCACGCTACAAGTGTACAGTCCCT